ACAAAAATTATTAAATCATTCTTACACATACTTTAACATCTTTAGGAAATATTTGTAAGATGTGTGTATTTAAAAAAATTGTATACAAATGTTATAACTAATTGCTGATACTAGTTTTTCAAAGAAAAGAAATATACAGGATACGAATGACACAATCGTATGTATTAAATGTTAATACAAACCCTTTTAAGCACTTTTTAAAATTTGAACATGGCATTCGGATTTTTAACGAATTACACGATACAATAACATGCTACACAAAATGTTAATAACGCAACAGATCTGGCTTTCGTAAAAATACGAAAAATATATGGCATAGGTGTCACGCTTGACTTGTTTGCAAATCCTGAAATGCAATGAGTAATGCCCTAAATACAGCATTTTATTTTAATAGAGATATACATAAAGCACGATCCCGGACATCGATGGTGGACGAATTAAAAATTACGATAACAATCGCATCAGGCAAACAACAGGAAAATTGTCCGTCCGGTAGTATTAAATCGCCAATTCCTGACCCGATTTTTCGCGTCTGGTCATAAAAGCGCCGGGAGCTTTTTACGCGGTTCGCCCGACGAATTAATATTGAGTTGATAGCTTTTCATCAATTCGGCCAATTGGCAGCGGCTTTTCGCTCACACTGCCTCATCGACGTGAATTTTTCCGTAATTATCTAAATCTCATGTAGCCTTTTGGGATTAATATGTAGCGTATAACATCGAACGCGCATGAATATCGCGCCATAAAAAGAGAAACACGCTGCAACGCATAAAAATTGAGAATTTTAATTATTATTTCCATAGTAAGTGAATTTAAGAAAATAATTATATCCACTATAATAGCGATTGTATTTACTAAATAAAAATGTTTATTTCAATTACCACATTTATATTTTAATATTTTATTATATTTGAAATTATCTAATTTATAGTTTTGCATGTTTAAGAGAACTAAAGCTATTACTAACATTGTAGCAGCAGTAACCATAAAAATGGAGCTCCTAACTATAATAATTATTTTACCATGCAAGTATAGTCATAAATATCAAGCACTTTTTTTCTCAGTATATAATCTCAAAATATAAAACGGTATTTCTCGTTAATTAAGTGTAATTTTATTGTAATTAATTAAGTTTTATAATTTTATTTGCCAGAAATGTAGAACTTTGTTTCGAATTGTTTTTTTCAAAAATATAGTCGTGTGACTTTTCACGATAAAGAAAATTTTGTGTCGCAAGCAAAAAGATTTGAAAATCATATATACACTATGATGTGAAGGTTCTTGAGTCAATACTTTCTCGCAACTTTCAAACAAATCGAGTACCGGAGCTTGTTCAAAAGATATCGAAAACTTTAAAGTTGTTAACGTTACACAGTATAACAGGAATTTCTGAAATATTGAACGAGTATCTATTTACTTTAATATACAAGGCTATACGTATCGAAACATACCCTTCTATCGCAATACATTTGTATGCGCATATTTCTCGTCAAATAATTCGTCAAGTAATTCAATTTCTTAGCGGGAGAATATATCAGCGTGAAAATAGTGTGATCTCGGTTTCCAGAAAAAAATAAGGGAATATTCTCACCTGACTCGGACGTTAGTTGTTTTTCCGGTAGCCTTAAAGTGCCTGCCTGCACCACCATTGCCTCGCTACGACCCTTGTCGTTGTAGGCGTAAATGCAGGCCTGATAAAGGGCGCCGGACTCCAAGTGAGTGACGCTGAAGCGCGGCACCGGCGACGTCAGATTGGCACGCAACTCCTGGCTGTTGCTTTCGCGCACCTCCAGCAGAAAGGATTGCGGCAAGCCGCCGTTGAAGCCCTCCGTGCACCGCACGGAAAACGAGTTGGTCGACGTGTTCGAGGTCGTGCAATTGTGAACCATGTCTGGTCGGCCTGTCACGGATAAGGGTTGCCTGCGTTTTAAAATGCGCTGCGTGCACGAGAGACTATTCACGCGCTCGTAACAGCTCGTAATAGCCACAAAGCCACGATAATATCGCGGGGTAATTTTTTCTTTCAGATTCTCTCCAAGTGCGGCCTTTTCGATAATCGATGAAATTTTGCGCGTCGGAATAATTAGGTAAGACGGATAACAAGAGAGAAAATAGAATGGTGAAAAACGATCGTCGATGTTAAAAAGGTAAACGAAATCGAATTACACGTAGCGATAAAAATTTAAAATATTGATGATACCGACGCTTTATACATCAATTTTTTTGGAAATAACTATCGGAATCTCTTTCAATGTTTTAAATAACTGTTAAAACAATATTGTTTGAAGCTTTGACAGGTTTAGATTAAAATATTATATTTGCTTGTCTCCATTCGACATTGGCCGAGCGAATTGTAGAAATAAATGAATTAACAATGTAATATTGAAATATTTTCATTTTGTAGGCCAACAACAGGAAAAACCTTTTTCAATTGTTAACAATTTTGCGTTTAGATTAAATAAAAAATGTAAGACAATTTTTCCTATTCACCTTTCAATTTTATATATATTTCGCAAAAAACTGGCTTGTCGCCTTTTATTAAAAATAATTAATGTTCAATATAAAAGCTACATTTTTCTATAGTTTAGAAAAATGGGATAACTTTTTTCCTCTCCCGAATCGTGCAGCTCTAAAGCCCCATATATAGATACATTCGGAATCGAAAAATTACAAATGAAAAATATGAATGAAAAACAATGTACGAACGTAAAAAAAATTGCGTAATAACTTCCCTGTGGTTTCCTGAAGTTTGTTTATTTCTACTTTTTGCGCTATATTAAAGTGCGCTGAATTTTAAGCGAAACTAATTACATAAGTACAGCGGTAACTCTTCAGCGTCAGCAGTTTCTGCAGTTTACTCCAACTTTCAATGCGTTCTTTTCTTGCGTCGGAATGATGTATAGTTTCATACGGACGGCGCAAAAGGGGGTAGGCGTTGTGTAACGTATCGTTTCGCGTGCGGTAGATTCGCGAATCAGGGCGTGATAGTTGCCCTGTAAATCCGGCGCACGGTGCGTTGGTGCATACAAGTCACTTGTAACCGAGTCGGCTGTAAAGATATACGGTTGTCTGGCTTTTTTTTTTCCGTAAAGGCATTAGCCGACCGTACACTTCGCGGCTCGTAAAAGCCGGTTAAAAGAGCGCGAACGAAACGATAACGGCATATTGCGTCGTGAAGGGACAAGAAAAAGAAAGGGGAATAAAGAAAAGGAAATAAGCGGGAATATGCCCGAGTTGTTTTCACGTTTATGGTTGCTGAAAAATCATAGCGCGCATCAGACACCTGCTACCGTCTCTCGCGGTGTCCCCATTTTACTCGCCCACCGTTGAATTCGTTTTTTTTTTTTTTTGCGGCGCATGGTGCGAGAGCTGTTTTCCTCTATGTCCGGAATACGCTTATTCTTGTATACGCGTACACGCGTTTTCTTTGTAACGCAATTCGATAGTAGGATCCGTGAATCGCAATTAATTGGTAACTCGAGCATCGATACGCGGCGGAAACACTGATATGAGAATAACAGGGATGCCCGGTGCATTGGATGGATCCATTGGGCTTACATTAGATTTTTTTAAGTCAAATTGAAATATAAAAAGCAACAGTATCGAGTTCATTTGTTGTAATGATTTGTTTGATAATTGAAAGAAACAGATATCTTTTGCGCTATCACGCTGTAAATGCAAAGAGAAAGAGAGAGAGAGAGAGAGAGAGAGAGAGAGAGAGAGAGAGAGAGAGAGAGAAATATACGATGTAATAATATTTCTTAAGTTTTATCTACATTTCAAAGACTTTTGATATTCAGAGATAATTCGCGACTTCATTATCACGTTATCTGATTCACGTCGCTATTATAACAATACTAATTGGAACTAATTATAACTCGAAGCCGAACAAAGTTTCCCATAATTGGATGATTTTATTAAAACAACTTACACATAAAAAAATTACGTCTGTCCAATTTTATACTAAGATTCGAATTAGTTATTCAATTACGCAAATTTTGAGACTTTAGAAACCACGAATAAAATCCAAATTCTAAATTAGCATAACAGTATTCCCGAAAGATTTAAATCCCAAAGGATTAAATCTATTAACTTTATTGTTAGTTTCACTAATTTATGAAATTGTAGGCTAATTAAGCGTAGAATAGAAATTCATTTTGTGCAAGTATTAAATTTTTAATATGCAAAATATGGAGAAAAGAGTTTAAAATTATCATCCATTGATTTCTATTATATACTTTTTTCTGAAAAAGGGATTTCTTTCCATTTTCTATCTATTCATTTTCGCTCTCGCCAAGGGGACAATCATAAATTAAAGAAGGATAGGATTGAATTAGTGCGAGAAATATTACCTATCGATTTAATAAAAAAAATTGTTTGTAGTTTGCATAATTTTGTTACGCCACATCACGTAAACTCGTCGTGGCGATCAATCTTCTGGTCTAAATCGAAAATTCACTCTGCGTATCGGCAGATACGTCGCTTCGCGTTTTCGCGAAATATGATATGAATGCAGAGATCCCTTACCCGCCGGTATAATGTGATATACACAGGGCACTTGTTGTTGCCCGATGTGATTGCTGGCCCAGCAGAGTAACGTGCCGTAATCTAATTCCGTCATTGGTGTGTATGAGACGATGGAGGATGTGCCAGCTCGCGCGATATGACCGGCCGCAACGTCGATACTCTCGGCGGAGTTATTAAAGGTCCACTTGAATTGCACTTCCGGCGGATTTGCATCCACTTGGCAGGATATATTCGCCTTCTCCTGTTTCGCTACACCGTGGACCTTCGTCTGGTTCGGCTTGCACGTAGGGGCGACTGCGGGAACAAACGTCAAACGTCACCGATAAATAATTGGGGCGCAAAGGATACGAAAGATATCTTCGTCTTGTATGGCTTGTGAATTTCTTATGCTACTGTTAAATTCACTGGGAATGATTTACCGATATTTCGTGATCTATTTTAAGTTTCTTGCGAAGATCTAATAAGAAAAACTATTCGATTATAAACAGAACGCTCAATTATCGAGATTGTTATCCTAGTTCCCATTATTAGAAAGATTTCTTAAGAAAAATCTGGCTTAACATTTTCTTTTTAAAAATATTATTTCGAAATTAAAAAATTTCGACTATCTTGATAATTCAGACACAAATTATATTTTTAAAGTATTTCTTATAATTTTTTTAGACGCGAGAAGTTACTGTCGCCTATTTAAATGAATAAAGTTTAATTTGCATATTTTAATTCCAATGTTAAATAATTCCGCAATAATAATAACAGAGCTAAAGCAAAATCAGAATTTTTTAATTCACCTCAAAATCCACTTCAATATTATTTTTTTAAATAATTGGTCAGACAGTTTAATTTTCAATATTAAGTAATTTTATTATTAATCAAATTAGACATTCTCCAAATCAGCTTTATCCTTTTATTATCTTCTTTTACAGCTTGCTGAATAAAGTATTAATAATGCGCTTATTGTAATTTTTAACTGGGAATTTCTATATTAAATATATATGCGAGCTTCACAATAATACGTTTTGCGTTTCGTATACCCATCTGACGAAGCTTTCAAATAAATTCAAATATTGATTAACAAAACTATTACAAAATATTTCAATATCGCATCCGATAATCTGCACGCAAACGAATAAACAGCTGGATATCCTGATAATATTGTACACGCAATTCGCGAGGGACGTATAGATGTACGTATATAAGCCAGGAATTAAAATTTCACAGTGGGAATTTACGCGAGTACCGAATCTTTACTCATTATAATTCATTGTTAATTGAAGTCGATCGAACACATTTCCGTTGAGAATCTTCGTACCATCGTTTCATTATTATTCGCATTCTTAGTGCGATAAATAATAATGAATGTAGCTGCATTGAGAAGACTCAGAACAGTATTTATGTAGTATTATAATAATCCGAATAAAATCAATAAGCATTAACAACCATATTTCAGCGTACGTTTAAATATGATAAATAACTCGAATAATTACTTAGCTACATCAAGAGGATTTAGTCATGTACTTAGGATTGTAGTAATCCAAATAATAGATTAAAATCGATGAAGTATTAATGTCTATACATTTATATTTGTTTGGCATGTTTTTTGAGCAAATATTTTCGAAATATTTGTCTATTAAGATTAAAATGAATCACTCTGTATACTGAAATACTTTTGATTAATGTTTTTTATTTTGTTAACTGCAAAAGCATTACGGTAAAGTTGGTTAGAAAAAAATAAACTAAATAATAAATAATTGTATATAAAAAGATATAAAGATTAAATAACAAAGTTATAAATATACAGCTAAGAGTAAAGTGATAGATATCTGTTATTTGTATTACTGACATCATGTAAACATTATTTAGCACTTAAATTCAATTTGGCTTTTATCACTTCGTACTATGTAAATAATCAGGCTTTAAAACAATTCCTAATTTAATTTATACGTTCCGATAAATAAATTCTCCGCGATGCCTGTCCTATTCAATATTCTACTATTAACGCTGTAAATGTAAGAATACGTACACATCACGTTCAGATAAAAGGGCGAGCTTTCGCCGTCACCCTCAGTGTTGTATCCCACGCACGTGTAATTGCCAGCGCTTTTACGATCAACTCCCTGCAGCACTAAACTCTGATTGCTGATTATAATGCCCTGCGTGATGTTGTGATGGAGTGCCTTGCCCTGAAAGAAACACGACAATTGACGTCACTCGCCGTTACATTAAACGAGCTATGTTTGGGAGCGAGAATTACTTTCTCTGTGTGTATATATACGATACGCACACGAACGTAAATAAACCACGGTGATACAACCTCCAATTTGTCAAAGACGAAAAGAAGATAAGAGTGATCATCGCGACAGAGGTGACGGGAAGTTATTATAAAAGTTTGATACTTCGAGCGTCGAAGTTTATATTCGGTCTTAACGTAAGTAAGTCGATGCTCTTGCGTGGCGCACAAGCGAATACAGGCATAATCGAGCTTGTTAGTTGGCGAGAGACCGATCTGTTTACGACACTCGGGTTTTAGAACTTTCTGAGAGCGAGAGATACGGACGAATTACTGGCGACAAACATTGTTACGCATCTTCGAAATAGATTAATGACAATTCGCAGCGAGGTGGAGTGAGAGAGTATTTGCGGAGATTACATCTCTGGAAAATGATTCACCAATATATTCTGATTTTTTTTTTCAGAAATTCTACTCTGGGAAATATTTTTCTATGTACTGTGAAACCTCGGTATAATTATGATAAATTCTACTTCGCGCGTGGATGCTGTATATACGCTAATTGGTTAACGTAAAGTTGATTCATTAAAGGTAAAACTTTTAAATCTCGCTGAATAAATTATTGTAATTTCAAGTTTCGCGTCTTCGATTTCTCTGCTAAATTGATTTCTTGAAAAATGTTTACATCACCCTTGTTTTTATCGTTCAACAGTCGGTGATTTTCTAAAATGTTTTCTACATATCTCATATTTCATTTTGAATTATAACTAAGTTTCGTAATAATTTGATACATTATTGAGTCTCTGTATACATCAACTATGCTACTAAATCTCTCCATTGATTATCTTGTCCACTTTTACGTGTATTTATTTGCTTCTATTTGTATTGCCGATGCTTGTCTTCCAAAGTAAGGAGATACTCCAAAGTATCAAGTACTCGGAAGCCAAAACAACATTTATAGCTTTCGCCTGAGTAATAGGAAATTTGATTGGACGCACTCAGTGCGATTGATGCAAATAAAGGCCATTGTATACGAATTGCGGTAACAAACGTGTGCTTGATATAAATATAGAAATGGATTAAATCGTGAAATACTCAATAAATTTTATTGTTGGTAAAATATACATTTTATAATTCAAATGCTGCATTTCACTTTTACACCCAGATTAAATCAGTGTACATCGGCTTTAACATGCACTAGTACGGTCAACAAAATTCTACTATATTTATAAC